TTTTTTTGGTACCAGGAATTGAACTCAGGACTTTGTGCTTGCCGGGCAGGTGATTATGCCACTGACCTATATCCCCCGCCCTCCCAGCCTCTTTTTCTTTTGTTTTGTTTTCTTTTTTTTTTTTGAGATAGGGTCTCTCTGTGTACCCCAGGTTGGCCTCAAACACTTGGTGAATCCTTCTGCCTCACCCTCCAGAGAGCTAGGATTACAGGCAGGTGCCACCACACCCAACTTTCTTGTATCATTTTTGAGCGGTTGGAGAGGATGACGTGGAGTGCCCGGATCCCTGTTGATTCAGATGCGGGCCAGTGGTGGGAGCTGTCCCCCTTCCCTGGTAGCATCTTATGAGCTGAGCAGCCTGGGCCAGTTCCTTAACCTCTCAGAGTCCTCCCTTCCTAATGAGATGAAAGGGCTGGTGAGATTTAAGTACTCTGAGGTGGGGAGGTTGAAAGGATCAAAGGAGATAATGGACATAGAAACACTTCCTGACCTAGAAAGTAACAAATGCTTTCCCCCGCTGAGGTTAAGGGCCAGGACTCTGGAGCCAGACGGCTGGGTTTCCTGTCCAGCACTGTCATTTACCAGCACTGTGTTCCTTTGGCAAGTCAAATGCCAAGTATCTCTGTGCCCTAGTTTCTTCATCTGCAGCAGAGGCATGCCCAGGTGAATAAACAGATCAATCACGCGAAACGCCTGGTACCCACTAAGCACTGTATCAGTTCTACTTTTTAAAAATCCAGATTGCTTCCTTAGCATGTGCAAAATGCTGGGTTCCACCCCCAGTACCCCCATACACACACAAAATGCAATTTATAGTCACCTTTCACTAAGTGATCTAGTAGTGCCCCTTCTGATCTAGACGCATGGGTGTGACACACACTCATGATCCCAGCCACTCAGGAGGCTGAGGCAGGAGCATCACAAGTTCCAGTCCAACCTGGGAAACTTAGCAGGCTCTGTCTCAAAATAAAATACATACAAAAAAAGGGCTGGGGACATAGCTCAGCATTCCCTGAGTTCAATCCCCAATACAGAAAAAAAAAAAAAAAAAGAAAAAGAAAAAAGAAAGAAAAGCCACTGTGATATTTTCCCTAGTTCCGAAATCAACCCAAATATTCCATTTGGTTGTTGTATCTCAGTTTTCTTTCATATAGAACAGTTCTCCAGCTGGATTTTCATGACACTGACATTTTAGAGGAGTACAGGTCAGATTCTGTTTGTTTGTTTTTGAGACAGGGTCTCGCTATGTGGTTCAGGCGCAGGCAGGATCCTCCCGCCCTAGCCGGTGTGCTGGGATACAGGTGTGTGCAGTCACCACACCCCGCTTGATCAGCTGTTGCAGGCTGTCTTGCTGAGTTTGTCTGATGTTTCCTTATGACTAGCTTTAGGTTTTGGATTTTACTGTGATTAGGACGGCAGTAATAATAATTACCTAGTTGGGCTGTTGATCACAGAAGAGCCTGATGAAGTGGCAAACACACTGCTGTAGTCCCAGCAGTTTGGGATGCCGAGGTAGGAGGATTGCTGCAGTCCAGCACCTATTTGGGGCCAGCCTGGGCAACAAAGTGAGACCTCAGCTCCTCCCAAAAGCCCAGAAGAGCACTGGTACCTAGCAGGTGCCCATCAAGGGGGACCATGGTTGTTAGCCTGAGTTCAGGTGGGGTTGACCTTGGAGAATGAACTCGAACCTGCCTTTCTGCCCAGGTGCACTGCCTGGGTCCTCCAGTGCCTCCTCCTCTCCCTACACCAGGTCCTCCAGAGACTCATCAAATCCCGAGGGAAGTCTCAGTCTAAACACCTCAACGTCCAGATTGCTGCCTCAGAGAAGTTGGCCCAGTGTCCCCCAGTGAGTGCCCAAGTCTGGGGTTCAATGAGGGGAGAGCATCTGGGGTCTCCTGGCTTCTGGTCTGAGTGGGCAACAGAGTAACCAGGAATCCCTGGGCCAGGTGTGCCGGTGAAGATTGGGCTTTGGGGAAAGAGGGCTGGCTAGGCAGATTGAGCTCTGGCTTCCCTTCTTGGTTGGGAGCCAAGTTCTGCTCCCTGCCTGGGTTACCTTATGTCTAGGAGGGAGGTGGGCTGAGTTGGACCCTCAGACCACTTGCAGCGCTGCCCATTGTCTGCTATGAGCTTCCTCCTTCCCTCCACCTCAGAGGACACTTCATAACCTTGTCCTTCAACCCCTTGGCTCCACCCACTGCACCCAGGCCACACCTTCAACCCTTGGTCACGCCCCTCGCTCACCCCAGCCCCGCCCCTAACCCCCCTCCACAGGAAATGTTTGACATCATCCTGGACGAGAACCAATTGGAGGACGCTTGCGAGCACCTAGCCGAGTACTTGGAAGCCTATTGGAAGGCCACGCATCCTCCCAGCAGCACGCCGCCCAATCCGCTGCTGAACCGCACCATGGCTACGGCAGCGTTAGCTGCCAGCCCCGCCCCCGTCTCCAACCTCCAGGTACAGGTGCTCACATCGCTCAGGAGGAACCTCAGCTTCTGGGGCGGGCTGGAGGCCTCGCAGCGGGGCGGGGCGGTGCCCCAGCAGCAGGAGCACGCCATGTAGCTGTGTTCCGCTGTGTTCCTTCCGCCCTAGAGTGCAGGAACGTGAGGGAAGGAAGGGAAGAGCTTTATTTTGTAAAAAACGTGGTGAGCGGCAGCTTCCGGTGTCTGTGGTTTTTGGTGGGACTGGGATTGGCTGGTGCTGCCTTCCTGGGCGTGCGGCTGTAGGACTCCTGTTGGCTGGGAGGCCTGACCAGAGCCCTCGTAGGAGCAACGACTGCGAAGAAAATAGAACATAAGGAAGTTCTCCACTGGACTCCACAGAGCAGGGGCCCTCAGACCCGGGAGCCAGAGAGCAGGGACGTCCGATTCCGAGGCTGTCCCTTCCCTGCTCGTGTCATCAGGAGCACCCATAAGCCGCTGCAGGCCTTCCTCCATTCCAGTCCCGCAGTACAGGATGGGCGCTGCTGGGGCTGCCCCATCCGGCCTCGCCCTCTTCCCAAGGGAAACCACGGCCCATCCCTGTGACCACACCATTCAGTACACGGTTAGGGCCGGCAGAAATCCATCAAGGCATCGAGGATTGCTGCTTTTAAACTTGGTTTTCAGCGGCACCTGTTCAGTGAACCTTTGGCTAAGGCACCCCTGCTCCGGTTGCAGAGAGCTGGGACCCTCCCTTCACTTCCTTGGGGCCCGGGGAACACCTCTGTGCCCCCCCGACCCCCAATCTCACACTGCAGCTGAGAAACTGATGCCTGTCGGCTCGGGGCCTCACAGTTTGAGGCGGCAGAGGCAAGACTAGGACAGGTGTGCCCTACCTGGCACCCTCTGTGGTGGAGCTCACCTTCACGTGGCATTTAGTGACAAGGACAGTGGGCCACACCATGGCTTGGGGGCAGAGGAGGAGCCCCACAACTCCACATAGCCTGGAGAGGAACAGCTCGCGTGGGTCCCTCTGAAAGGGTGTGGCTCAGTGTGACTTGCGCGGCTGCAGAAGCTGGGTCCGGGGCTTTGAGCTGCTGTCTCTTAATCTATGTAGAAAACGGGAGTCCTCCACTAACCCAGTCAGCCACTAACGAGTAGCAGTGCTGATGAGCTGTTAATGATGGTTAAACCCCAGGCAGCCTCCATAACCGAACTGAGGAAGTGATGACTAATCGCTCAGGGCCCCTGCCATGGTTACCAGAGGGCTGTGGCCTCTGTAAGGGGCACCCCCAACCCTAACAAAAGAGCAGATGCCCTGAGGCCTGACCTCTGGCTGGGCTCTGGAACGCCCACTGCCAGTGCAGCGCGCCCCTCCTTCCTCCTCCTGCAGGATGGGTGGATGCATGGACAGATGGATGAGGGGTCGTGGTGCCTGAGGTCGTGGTGCAGTCACTAACTTGCCTTGCTTTGTTGTGTTTTTCTCACCCTTGCCTCCTCTGCATGGCGTCTGCTGTCCGTCCGTTCGTCCGTCCGTCTGCTAACCAGGGACCCTACCTTGCTTCTGGGGACCAGCCGCTGGAGCGGGCCACGGGGGAGCACGCCAGTGTGTGCGAGTACCCAGGGGAACCGGGCCAGCCCCCGGGCCGCCACCCCCCAGGCAGGGCGGGCACCGTTCGGGCGCTGTCCCGCCAAGACACCTTTGACGCCGAGACCCCTGGCAGCCGAAACTCGGCCTACACAGAGCCGGGAGACTCATGCGTGGACATGGAGACGGACCCCTCTGAGGGCCCAGGGCCCGGGGACCCCGCGGGGGGCGGCACCCCGCCCGTGCACCAGGGCTCCTGGGAGGAGGAGGAGGAGGAGGACTACGGGGAGGATCTGCCCGACAACCGAGGCCGCGCTGGGAGCAAGGCCCGCTACTGCGCCGAGGGTGGGGGCCCGGTCCTGGGGCGCAACAAGAACGAGCTGGAGGGCTGGGGCCGGGGCGTCTACATCCGCTGAGGGGGGAGCACGTGGGAGGGAGGGACGGGGGCTCCTATGGGCGGGCCTTGCCTCCGGAGGCCGCAGTCATCGCCCACTTTTAGATGCCTTTCCTCGGTGTTGGAGTTTTTGGGGGTACCCGCCTGGCTCCTGGGCACCCCTTAAACCCCAGCTGTGGGGTTTCCTTATCTGCTGAGGAGGAATGGGGATACCCTCCTTTTTGAAGTGTCCCCCTTTTTCCCATCCCCAAGAGAAAAGGTGCACTTCTAACTTTCTACTCCGGGCTGTAAGTGAAAGTCCCAACCGGGGTGGCCCTGCTTTCCCAGCCTGGGGATCGGCCGTCCTTCCTGGAGAGAGCGGCCATAGACTCATCCTCAGACCCAGACCCGCCCCCGCCCTGCTTCCCGGCAGCGTTGTCCTGTGCATGAAAGCTACAGCTAGGGAGGCTGGGAGGGTCCCGAGCCTCGGATGCGGCCTCTCCTTCCTGGCCGGGGCGGCGCCCAGCCCTAGCAGCTGAGTAGAGCGCCTGGAAACGCTGCTCCCCACCCCACCTTCGCCTCAGCCTCGCCCACCCAGGAATGAGCTTTGCCCCCAACCTCCCGCCTGCTGCCATCCGACCAGGGGGGCCCTCTGCATCTGAGCCCCCCATCTCCGTGCCACCTGGGTGTGGAGACCTCATTCTAAACCAAAAAAAACGAGTCCTTCACCTTCACCTTGAGGCCCCAGGGGTGGCGTGGTGCCCAAGGGGTGACCCCGCCCCGGGGGTTGTCCAGGGACCTCGGATCTCCCGGGGAGCTTAGCTGCTGCTGCTGCTGCTGCTGCTTCTCTGTGTTTGCCTCTTGTACTCCTGTCCTTCCCTGTGCCCACTTCCCCCAGGAGCGGCCTTGGTGGCCCCCCACCCCTGGGGTACCCTTGGCCTCAGCATCCCCAGAGGCCAGCAGCCCTGCCCCTCCCCAGCACCCCAGCTGGGCCAGAGAGAGCCGATTGTGCCAACGAGGACTGGGCCCTGCCCGGCTGCCCACCTCAGGGATGGGCACCTCATGCCTGTCTCGCCACCTCCTGTGCCAATGTTGCCCCTCCCCCATCGGGGCGGGGTGCACCTTCCACTTCCTGTTTAGAAGACTCCTTTGCCCAGTCCCGCCCGGCCCCATCTGGTGTCCTGTGGCCCCTCTGTCTGTCTTCTTGTCTGTACTCCACCAGAAGTATTTTGCCACATATAAAACCGCCGTCCTGTCCTTCGCGGCCACCTTATGAGCCTGCATCTTTGTTCCGGGTGCACAGTTGTCTGCCCGGGGAGCTGCCCACCCGCTGTGGGAGCCAATGGGAGGAGCAGGAAGAAGCGGTGCCTGGGCTGCTGACTCCAGACAGTGCCTGGAATGGCACCTGCTGGCGCTGGCACAAGCCCACACCTTCCCGGGGTGACAGAGCCGGGGAGATGCGAGCTCAGGGTGCTGCACGACCCGTGCTGCTGGGGCTCACGGGTGCAAGGTCCAGGGTTTGGAGGGCTCCCTGCTCTGGCTTTGCCACCGTTGGCTGCTGCTGCCAGCTTTAGAACCAGCACACGGTGGGGGCAGGGCAGGCAAACTCAGGGACCCCTCTGGCCCCAACCTGAGAGATCGGAGAAGAAAGTTGGCGATGGAGCAATCACCATCTTTACCTGGCCAGATGTGGACCTCATTCAGCCCCACAGAGCACCCACAAGCTTCCTTGACCAGCCAGTTCTTGTTTCTGAGAAGACTCCAGTGCCTGGCTGCTCTGCTTAAATTCGCCCACAGGGAGGGAGGGAGGGAGGAGGGAAGGAGGGAAGGAGGGAGGGAGGGAGGGAGGAGGGATATCCTTGAAGCCTGCAGATGAGGAATTAGATCAAAGGGTGTGGTGGTGCATGCCCCTCATCCCAGCATTCTGGAGGCTGAGGCGAGAAAATCCCAGCCTGAACTACGGAGGGAGACTGTCTCAATAAAACAGACCAAAGAGGACTGGGGCAGGCGGGGAGGGAAGGGCTGACTGGAGCTTCCTGGAGAGCTGATGAGAAGATGGTGAGATGCCCAGCACCGCTCCGTGGAATCTGCCACACACCCCTGGGTTTATTCACTGAGTGAACACTGCGTAGGCACCACCCATGTGCCAGGCACAAGTGAGCATGGCAGCTCCAGAGAGGTCAGTGTGGCCCACTGAGCTGTCTGGAGTGGGCAGCCAGATCTTCCTGGGCCCGGGAGGTCCGTGGAGGTTTCCTGGGGGAGACAAGTTTCTCTTGGACTCTAGAAACATAGTTACAGGGCACTCGGAGCCCATTGGCAGAGGAATCTGGAAGGCAGAGTGTTGTCAACCTGGAGCCCAGTGGGGTGTTGGCAGGAGCAGGTCACAGCAGGCCTCGAGTCATGTTCGGGACTTTGGGTTTGGTCATGGGAAGCCCGTGTGCAGAAACTGAGAAGCCACCAGGTGAGGTGGCAACACACCTGTACTCCCAGCACTTGGGAGGCTGAGACAGGAGGATTGTTGTGAGTTGGAGACCAGCCTGGGCAACAAAGTGAGCTCAAGGCCAGCCTGAACTGCATAGCGAGACCCTGTCTCAAAAAAAAAAAAAAAAAAAAAAAAAGTTAAAAAAACAAGTTTGAGGCCAGCCTGAGCTACATAATGAGTTCAAGGCCAGCCTGAACTGCATAGCGAGACCCTGTCTCAAAAAGACAAAAAAAAAAAAAAAAAGTTAAAAAAACAAGTTTGAGGCCAGCCTGAGCTACATAATGAGTTCAAAGACAGTGTGAACCACATTGTGAGACCCTCGTTTTGTTTTTTAAATCTGGGAGCCGTGGTGCATGCCTGTAATCCCAGCGCTCAGGAGGCTGAGGCAGGAGTATAGCTGTTAAAGGCCAGCCACCCTGTCTCAAAAAAGCGAAAAAACAAAACAAAACAAACAAAAAAGAAGAAGAAGAAAAAGAAAGAAAAGAGAAAAAGCAGTTTTTAGTCTGGAGGGCTAGCATTTTGACTCAAGGGCAAGAGTTATTTTATTAGCTGTGATTTACAGATTAAGCTCAGAGAGGTTGAACTCAGCCTACAATCACACAGCCGTAGAGCAAAGGGCTGAAGTCCTATTTGGACGTAGGGCCTGGGTGCCCGTGCCAAGCCCAGAGCTCCTTCCTCTGCCCCGAACCCCGGCTTCGTGGAGGGTGGGGGCGGGGAGGAGGACACGGGTGCCTGGAGAGGTCTCTGACCCTCCCGGTGTGCCTTCTGCCTGCAGCTCCGTTTGCGGGACCTTGCAGGCAGGTGAGGGCATTTCGGGCTGGGCAGCGACCCTGGAGCGGGAGTCTTGTTCCTTGGTAACCACAAGTCCTCAGCCGACTCCAGCTGCTCAGTCAGCAAGCTGGCGGCTGTCAACTCCGAGGGTTTCAAGGGCTGTGACGGCAGCTGGCCCCTCACAACCCTTCCACCTGGCCCCCTCCCGTCGTCTGCCTCCCGGACAGCTGCTTCCGTCCTGTGATGGGTTCTGCCCCAGGTCCGCAGGAGCCAAACCGGCCATGGCCACTGGTCCTAGGTGTGACCGAAGGCTCTCCTCAAATACAGTGAGCTGAGCTACAGCCACCTGGAGAACCAACTTTCAGAGCCGGGCCAGCGGCTCCGCCCCGGACCCGGAAGAGAGAGCGGGAGGGACACAGAGGGAGGGGGAGAGGCGGTGCTGCAGCATCTCTATCCGCGTTCCTGGGGAGAAAGGAACCATGTCCTTCCCCTCCTTTCTCTCTCCCTCCCTCCCTTCCTCCCTTCCTCCCTTCCTTCCTTCTTTCCTTCCCAAGATCTCCCTCTATAGTCTAGGTGGGCTTTCCCATGTAGCCCAAGTTGGCCTAAAATTTGCAGCCCTCCTGCCTCAGCCTCCCAAGTGCTAGGCATGCACCCAAGTACCACTTCTCAGGCTATACTACCCTCATTTCAACTCAGTCCAACAATGGTACATCCTAGCCGAGTGCCAGGCACTGGACCAGGTGGGGAGGGGTGCACAAGGTTTGAACCCCACTGCGACGACTCACTGGTGTTGAGGGAAACAGCCTGGCTTGTCTCCAGTCCCGGAGTGGACAGAGACCCGGTGAGGCTGGAGAGCCAGGCCAGGGTCGGGGAAGTAGGTGCTTTTATGGCCAAGGGTGAAGGGTCAGGGCTTCTCTCGGACAGCCGGAAGGTCAAGGGTGACCAAAGGGGCCTTGAATGCCAGGCTAGGAGCCTGGGCTGAACCACCGCAGGCTGATGAGCTGGGCTTTAGGAGCCTTAGCAGACAGCTTAGAGCAAGACGAACCCACCCTGGGTTCTGGGGAGGAGGAGGCAGACAGACCCTTTGGTTGGGGGATGGCCATGAAGGAGGGAGCACTAGAGCCCCGGTTGCCATGGTGACCGGTCTCTGTCGACACCCCACCCCCACGCCGTAGCCTGAGTTCTCCAGGCCTTCCCTGCTTCTCTTTGTTTTC